TTTTGTGATATAAAGGATTAGATCCTATAATAGACTTCTGTTTCATATCTTTCTAAAGAATGTTTGTTGATCAGACTTATTAACCAAATCTATTGAATGCTCAAAGATTCATTCAACCAGATTATCAGCTCTCACTACTCTCTTACATTCTGAATTTCATCAGAGATGATGTGCATTGAAGTCTTCTGCAATTATAGAGTTTCTTGATGAAGTTATGTTCAGAAATTCTCTATCAATTGTTCAGATATTGTTATATTTCTTCAATGACTTTTCATTATAGATATTTATGAGCTGTATAGTATCAAACTCATTTTCTTTATCTATAATGTCACTCACCAGAATATCAGGGTCAGACATGATATCAAATCTTAGATTAAATTGATATCTTGATCTCTTTCTTTCATAGATCACTATTCTTGACTTTATCTCAGACTTTTGAGGTAAAAAGCAGTAGTAGCTTGAATGAGAAATGACATATTTTTGCTCAGTATCAAAATTCGGCTCCTGAAGCAGTATAAAATCAACTTTTTATTCAAATGTAATTTGAAGACAAGAATAAATGCAATTTAAGTTTCTATTCACATTATTTTGAATAAATGTGATTTTTGAAGAGTTTTTAAACTTTTTTTGTTGTTTTTGTTGTATATTCATACTAAAAGAGAGTAGAGTAGAATCTAATCACTATTATCAGATAGTAGATTATAACTGTTCTGAAAAGTAGAAATCTCAACTGCTTGCATTATATCTAGTTTATCATCAGAGTCATTTCTCAATTCTCTAATCTTAACAGAAGTTTGAGAATTCAAATTCTGTTTATATTTAGCTGAAGAATTGAAGTTTGAAGACTTAGACAGTTGAGAGTTTCTTCTTTTTAAGCTTGCAGTTGTGAGTTTACTGGCTTGACTATTCTCTTCAATTCTAGGTTTACTCTGAGCTTCATCTTTTCTCCAGTTCTTTTGAGTTCTTGAAGCAAATATACATTCTTTTGAGCTAGATGCATGTTTTTCTTTGCAATTAGAGCATTTAAGCAGAGTATATTGACATATTTCATCTCTTTTTGAGCATGTTTCACATTTATACTCACTAGTTTTGTGATCTCTGACACAGAATGCACATTTTGAGTCTCTGAAACAGAAGATTGCAAAGTGTTCATATCTTTAACAGTTTGAACACTGTGTTTGAGCTTTGAGATTCATTCTTGAGTCTTTGTATTCATGAACTCTCATTTTCAAACCTGCTACTCTTACTTCAGAGATCTTTGACTGTTTCATTATCTTTATATATACTAGAACAGAGACATTTCTTCTACTTTGTCTGAACTCAATTGAATTTAGTCATACAGACTTCTTTCTCAGTTGAATAGAGTTGTATTCTTCTAATTCATTTTTGAGAAGTAGCATTCCTTCTTCACAGTCAAAAATTTCAACTGAAATATTATGAAGAATGAATTTATTCCACTTTTCATCTCTCTCAGATAGAATTATTGTGTTTAACAAAGATTCTACTGCTGATTTTCAGAGATTCTCATTCTGAATAAGGAATTCAGCACTGAATTCAGGCATTGTAGTCAGAATGATGGAGTTTTTAAAGAAGAATAACTCAATTGAAGCTATAACTGGTTTTTAAACTTCAATATTAGTCATTAACTGAGAAAAGAACTGCTGATTGATTTCATTTCTAATTCTGAAAATGAGGTTTGAGTTTAGCTTATTTCTCTACAATATGTCCTGATTTGAGACTTTGAGAATAAGTCTTCTATTTCTGAAGATTTGAAGATTTTTCTCTTTTTACATTTTTTTCTCCACTCTTCTATCACTAGAAGTATGAGCAGTATTCTTCTCAGTTTTCTCAGAATTTTGAGCAGGTTTTGAGATAGCAGATTTAGAGACAGCAGGTTTAGAGGCAGCAGATTCAGCTGCTTGAGTATATGTTTTCTTCTGATTTAAAGAAGAAGAAGAAGAAGAAGTAGAAAAGAAAGAAGAGTAAACAGAAGAGTCAGTGATTGTATTAGGAATTTTCAAAGTGTTTTGAACTGTGTTTGAAATTCCAAGTTTGAACTTGATCACTTCCTGTAGTTGTCTAGCCTGAGCATGAAGAATTAACAGAACTTCTTTATTCATCTCACTCAGACACTGCTTTTCAAGAATTTTACTTGCTTTTTCAAGTTTCTGTATTTCAAGAACTTGTTATTTCTCTATTTCTTCTTTCTTTCTTCTCTTCAGAATTTCAATCTCAGGAATAGCATTTGAGAAAGTATCTTTTTTCACATCAACTGAGTGTACTTTTGAACTCATTATTCTTACTCAATGAAAAGTTGGTCAGACTAATTCAATTGAGATATTTATTAAACTCTTTTGAATTGAAAAGTTGATCAGACTGTTTCAATTAAGAGGTTTCTAAGTCTGTTTTTAATTGAAAAGTTAGTCAGACTATTTCAAAAGAAGAATAGCAGACTTTTATGTATAAAACACCTGATTTTTTTCACTCTAGTTCAGTAACTAGGTTAGATTTTTAAAGAGAATCTAATAAACTAAAATTGATTTTTAAGATAAATCAATAAAATCTTTACAATCTCTTTCTTGAGATACAGTGAGGAAAAGTATGATATCAATTGATAGTAAATCAGATGATATGACAGTTTTTGAGAGAAAAACTGACAAAAAATAAATGAATTTTTTGCAGAGAAATTGATTAAAACTATTCAATTTTATTCTAAATTATTCAATTCTTCTCACATAACAAGTGTGCAACTCAAATCAGTTAATAAAGACTGTAAAAAAGAATTAAGTATTAATGAAAGCTCTTCAGTCACTGAAAAAGTAATTCTTACTTAAAAGAATATGAAATTATGACAGAAAATAACTCTGTTTTTAATTCTTTGTAAGAATATTGTGTAAAACCCAGAGAAAAACATCTTACTTTTTCAAGAGAAGTAAAAAACTATTTCTAAGATCTTTTTTTTTTGCATTAACTGCTGCAGAAGAATGAGATAGAAACTGCTAAGATATGCACTACTGTATACTCTCTATCAAGACTTTCTCTCTTCAGAGTCTTGATATTATAGAGAATATAAGTCTGTTTCTATATAATAATGTAAATATTGTCAGTGGGATGTAGAGAAACTAGTTATTTATATCTCAAAATAGAAGACTTTGTCAATGATTATATCAATATAGAGTTAATTCTCAAATTCAATAGAAATCTAGTGTTGCTGTTCTCAATTCCTTGCAGAATCTATTGAA